TTTTTTTTTTTTTTGTGGGGGGGCAGGGGGTTTGGCTCTCGCATATACCTCTCCACATGGAGGTTTGTTTTTTTTTTCTCACTCCTCCTTCTCCACCTCTTTCTATTTCGCATTCTCTGGGGGGTCTCCGGCATAAAACCGGGTTTATACTTATCCGATTTTTGTACGCCATCAAGCAGTGCTTCCAGCGTCATTATTGTGCCTGTATAGCCGCCCCTTGTTGGGTGGAGGCTCTCACAAAGTTCTGCTTCATCCTCTTGGTGCCGCGGCTTGCTTCCCCATCCGTGTGAAATTCATGCGGACGAACTTCTCCAGGGAGTACCTGGACGAACACGCGCACACACACCACATTGACCCTCATAATCCTCATCAATATCCGCATGCTTACCTCCAGCAGAAGCGCAGCCACAGCCATAGCCACCGCAGGCGCCATGTGGCGTCGTCGCGGTCACGCAGAGTCAACTCACACTCACTCGAGTCGTCGCGCAATAAATACGAAAGTAACTTTGGGGGGCCTACTTGCAGCCTTGAGCGTATAGACAGCCAGGATGTACTGCAGCAGAGGCCGCAGACGCCCGCTACCAGATCGGTGGAGTCACAGGAGGTCTCGCTCGACAGCTTCGGTTGCATTCCGTATGGACGCATCTATGTGTTCGAGGACCACGGTTCTGCGGATACCGATAGACCCATAATTCTGAACAACAACGCCGATCGCGAGGGCAAACCCGAAAAGGAAAAGGACGGTGGCGACGGAAACAGCAGAGGCAAAACCCCGCTGCCACCAGAGCTGGACGTGCCATGGCAACTCCGCGAGACCTTCAGCGACACCTCCTGCAGTTACTTTGACTTCCTAGGGACGAAGTACTTTTGGTTTCTTGTCCAGTTTTCTGCGCGAGTGACGCTGGTGGGAATGCTCATCCCTACACTGATCATCTCGATGCGTTTACCACACGCGTCGTTCTTCTCGGTGTACACACTGTCAGGCGTTATCACTGCCGCCGGTACCACGGTTGGGCAATCCGCGATGTTTCTGACACAGTTCCTTAGGGCAGGGTGCATTTGGTTGCCGATTGCCACGGCGTGTGAGGCAGCCGAACTACACCAACACCTTGTCGTGTGGCTAACAGTGTATTTTGTATTGATATTTCTCGTTGCCTGCCTCATCGCTGACCTGAAGCGGCGTATTACTCTGCTGCTTCTCAACATTGCCCTTGTGAAGCAGCTGGTCAGCGACACCACCTTGTTGACCCCATCAATGCTTCTGATGCAGTGGCTCGTTGGCGTATTATTCGCCCTCGCCGCAACGTTGGTGCCGTATCCGCTACTCGCGACAAGATCCGCGCGTGAATTGACACATCGCCTCTTCACCAACACCGCAACGGCGTTCCGTGGCCTGACGACGTGCTTCTGGTCGCGTTCAAACACGGAGCGTAGTATGGGGATGGTGCGTATTCGTCATCTTACACGCTCGCTCGATGCCTTGCTTAGTGACACGAGTGCATTGGAGGACTTCAGCTTCTATGAGTTTCTCTTCTTTGATAGTTTTGAGCGGCGGGAACTGCGTTTGGGAAAGGCTGAGCTTCTGCACAAATTGCGCCTCAATCTGCGATCCATGTCACGCGTGATTGACATCGTGCAGGACAACCCGCACATTATTGATGACTCGGAACGCTGCATTCAGTTTGGGACAAGTCTGTCGCGCCCAATGGAAGGTATTTCACGTGCGGTGGAGGAGTTGCTGGAGGGAATCGCCCGGGCGAAGGGTCGTGACGATGTGCTGGCGCTTGACGCACCCTTCGAGTCCTGTGGGCGCATGATTAAGAGGCTGCAGGAGGATTTTTCTGGCGCGAGTCGTGTGCTTTTCTACGAGAAGGTGTCGTCGGACGAGATGGAGGAGTTTGTGCCGTTTATGACGTTCTTTGTGTTCTCAGTGGTGAACTTCTGGTCCGCGCTCGACGAGTACAACCGAAACCTACGCTCAGAGCGCCCACCAACAATGCGCTCCTCGTTGAAGCGCGTGTGGCGGTGGATTACGAGCCCGTTGATTGAAGAAGCGCGTTTCCTGCGTCGACTGGTCTTTACACGCGGCGAGGAGGAGGTACGTGTTGTGATCGAGGCAGGGAAAGTGAGCGTGGCGATGTTGTTGGCGGTGTTGTTCTTTTACTATGTGCAGCCACAGGCGCTGGTGCTGTCGGGGCCAACCATCATTGCATTTGTTTCTGGTATGAACCCGGTGGAAGCGGTGCAAGCGGCGATGGCGCGGCTCATTGGCACGCTCCTCGGCTCCGTCATTGGATTCTTCGCCGCATCGCTCAGCCAAACACAGGCCGATCTCGCGGTGAGTCTCTGTGTCATCACGGCGTTTTCGACGTTCTTCCGTACGGGGCAGAAATACGGGATTATTTTCACAAATGCCAACTTTGTGGCGGTGACGAGCTTGTCGCTGGCGCAGCAACCGACTGCTGAAACGGTGATTAGCCGAATTCAGCAGAACTCCTTCGCCATCATGATTTACTGCTTGATCTGCATCACGGTGTTCCCAGTTAGTCCAGGGGCGTTTCTAATGCGCAAGCGCATTGATGTGCTGCAGTCCATTAGCCACGCCGTCGGCACAATGATGAACTTCTACGCTGAGCCTCCAGAGAGCGATGGGCAGCCGCGGCGGTCAACCCGATTTGGGTGGATTCGCTCCTCCGAAGACCTTGGCAGACCCCTCGACGGCCTGGGTGGAATCATGAACGCAACCGCTATGCAGCCACCGACGTTCATTACGGTGCCACAGCTGGACCCACGCCTGCGTGCCGTCTTCGAAGAGGTGGAGCACCTCAAAGGGGAGATGCTGGTGGCAGCCCGCATTATGCCCTTCGCGGCGGATGAGCGCGGCGTCGCACCAAGAGTGTACCCGCAGCGTGCCTGCGACTCGGTGCACATCGCCCTCTACCGCATTTTCTCCCTCCTCTACACCATCGCGTGCGGCTGGAAGCTAATGTGCGAGAAGGGCTACTTTACACCGGAGGTACGTCGTATTCTTCGCTATGTGCACCCCATCGCCAGTGATGTTCGCTTCAGCCTGCAGCGCTTCGTGAATATGCTTACCTTCTACGTTACACACCCGAGCTCATCGCTGGCGCCGGAGCTGATGAGGTGCCTGTTGCAGTTCCGCGTCCTTGTGGACGAGTTCTCCAGCAGGAAGCACCGCGCCATGATGGAGATCATCTCCGGCGTCGTCGCACGCCAGCGGGAGCTAGAGAGACAGCCACCTCCGGCGAGTGACGAAATGGACAACAACAAGAGCAATAACACTGCACCACCAGCTGCGCCCAGCTATCCTTTCAGTGCGGCTGACGTGGGCGCCGCACTCCACCTTGGGTCAGACGACCCGACGATGCAGGACTACGTCGCCAAGAGACTTCTCAACCAAACGCAGATATTCCCCCTAAGCCTCGCAGCGCCGGCGGGGAATGTGATGCCGGCGGCCCCCGGCGCGCAGAGGAAAAGTAGTCCCTACGGCGATGAGAATGACGAGGGACTTGTGGCGGCGCAGCGGCAAACAGAGGAACAGCAGCAAACAGAGGAACAACAGAAACCAGAGGAACAGCAGCAGAAGCAGCGAGAAGAGCAAAGCCAGCAGGAGGAGAATGCGCCACAGCCGATACGGCGCAGAACTTCCAGGGGCTCCATGCACGCCCCAAACTTCTCCACGGCGTCGGGCACGACATCCACCTCGCGTCAATCTCGAAGCTTCTCCTCTAACATGCCGTCGAATAGCTCCGTGCACTTCTCTGATAGTTTCACCACGCCAATCACTGTGCATGACGCGGAGGGGCTGCACGCGATCACGCTCGCGCTGGACATGATGGGGAAGGAGCTCAAGAACGCACTTCTTGCATTTGAAGAGATGGTGCAGGTAAAGGACCAATGAACGTCTCTTAGTGCCATTAAATTATTATACAACCAAATAAAAAGCAAAAACAAAAACGGGGGAATCGGGGAATAATGGCAATAGGTGTTATACGGAAGAAGCTTTCCATCCTGCTTATGTACAAAAGCACTGTAGAATATATGCATGTGGTTTTTTGAAGGCAGAGGAAAGAAACAAAAGGTGATGTGTGTTGATAAGAGTCTACACACCTGATGGAAGTACAAGAGTAACGGCTCTTAGTTGTGGTAGAAGTGGTTGAAGAATNATATATTATTTATATTAGTGTTTTCTCTCTTAATCTCTCTTTGTGTGTATGTGTGGCGGGCTTTACCTGCAAATAGTTGCATGTTTCTCTTAGCGGGTGGTTGTGTGTGTGTGTACTTCTCTGAAAGATTGAGTGGGTGAGAGTGAAGGAAGAAGGGAGAGACGACATGCCGCCGTTCAGTGGGAAGCAGAAGAAGAAGCAGCTGCAGGAGAAGCGGCAGCGGAAGAAGGAGCAGGAGGGCTCGCGCCGCGAGCATTCCATGGGTGACACCCACGATCACAGCGGGGAGGGCAGCGGACGTGGCAATGACGACGACAACAAGGATCATCATACAAAGGAAGAGTACAAATACGACGCTGACCGCCGCGGGGTCCGGAGCGTATTCCTCAAGGAGACCGCGGAGGAAATCGCGGCACGAAAGAAGCTCTCGTACGAGCCGCTGGCGTCGCGTCGCTTTATGGACGATGGCGGCATTCCGTTCGGCTCCTGGTTCGACATGCCGGGGCATACCGATGCGGCGCAGATGCCGTGCGCTGTCGAGATTCCGACGCGTGGCTGGACGCCCAACGACGAGGCAACCGCGGCGGCTGAAGAAACCAGTAACACTAACAGCCGTAGCAATAATAAGGACAACAACGACAGTGGGAGTGGTGGCAGCAGCAGCCGTGATGGCGAGGAGGCGCTCCCCGAGGACGCCGCCATTGAGGCCCGCGAGGCGGCACGGTTCGAGGCGTACCTGCGGGCGGTCGACAACTACCCGCTGCCACCGTCGCTGCGCGACCTGCGGGTCAGCTCATACGAGCGCAACCTCGACGTATGGCGGCAGCTCTGGCGCACAGTGGAGCAAAGCGATGTGGTGGTGATTGTGGCAGACATGCGCTACCCCATTGTGCACTTGCCGCTTTCGCTGCTGCAATACGTGGTGCGGGAGTGCCGCAAGCCGTGCGTCGTGGTTCTGAACAAAGCCGACCTCGTGCCACGCCACATCCTCGACCGGTGGATGGCGTTCCTGCCGCAGTACTTCGCCGCGACAGGCATCGTGGCGGCAAGTGACGCGGAAGCTGCTGCTGCTGCTGCAGATGGTGATGGCGGTGGAAGTGTGGTGCGTGAGATTCCGTTGCTGCCCTTCACGTCGTTGCCGGCGGCGGACACGGCGATTGGCGCAGAGGACGCCGGTAACGCCGCGCGGCGCCAAAAGAAAAAGACGCGGCGGACTAAGTTGTACGAGCAGCTGCGCACCGGAAAGCTGCAGGTAACGGCGGCCCCTAAAAAAGGCGGCAAGCGCGACGACAACAACGACGACTCCTCTGGTGCAGAGGACGACAAGAGCAGCAGCAGCAGTGGCGAGTTGGGGAGGAGAACTGAGGACGACACGTACGCCACGACGGACAACTTCAAAGGCATGCGGAAGGCGGAGCGGCAGCTGCAGCACGACAGGCGTGACCACAAGGAGCTGCAGATTGTCTCTGATATGATCTCCACGCTACTGCAGAAGTGTCGCGCGGTATGTGCTGAGCATCGTAATGGGAACGGCCAAAATAAAGCCAGCAGTTGGAAGGGCAATAGCAAGGATAAGGATCATGACGGGGAGGACGTCGTGCACATTGGCTTTGTGGGTCACCCGAACGTGGGCAAGTCAAGCCTGCTGAACTGCATCCGCGGTACAAAGGTGGTGTCCGTCTCCCCCACGCCCGGGCACACGAAACACCTGCAGACGATCCCGCTCCCGTCGGAGCGTGTTGTGCTCATCGACTCGCCGGGCCTCGCGTTCCCCGTCTTCGGCCTACCACACGCTCTGCAGGCGGTGATCGGCACGCATCAGATCGCCCAGACGCGTGACCCGCAGAGCGGCGTTGCCTTTCTCGCGTCGCACCTGCAGCTGGAGCGGCTCTATGGCTTGCGCAAGGAGGACGCCGCCGACGACGCGGCGGAGTGGTCGCCGTACGAGTTCTGCGAGAGCTACGCGCGGAAAAGGGGGTACTTTGTGAAGCACGGCAAAGGCGCGCTCGATGTGCACCGCGGTGCGATTGAGATGCTGCAGGAGGCGTACGAGGGGCGGCTCGTGCTGTTCCTCGCCCCGCCCGACCCCGCGTGGCTGCGTAGCGCCGCCTTCCGCGCAGAGCTGCGGCCGTTCCTGCTGCTGGAGGTGCGGCTGCCGCCGGCAGGGGACGACGCACCGACGGAGGCACAAGCCTGTGCGGGGTGCTCGTGACGGGTTCGTCCGTCTCTCTCTCTCTCTCTCCTTGTGAGTATGCGCTGCATTTCTTTAATAGCTCTTGGACCATTGATTCTTGTTGTTGTTTTTGTGTTTTGTTTTAATGGTCGCCGTGTGCGTGTGTCGAATCGGGCTCGAGCGTATTGCCCTCTTAATGTTACTTGCGTTGTTGCTGTCGCGCGAGAAGTGTGAACTGCACGGCGGTGTGGAAAACGTTCTTCCTTCCCTGCGCCCCCACCCCCACCCCTTCGTTCTCTCCATCTCACTCGGATACTCGCAGAGTTAACAGCAGGTGCGTGAAGGATAGCTTGGCAGCAGCAGCAGCAGCAGCGACAGACAGAGAGAATGGAGAAGTACGCGTTCGCGGATGACTACAAGAACCCTCGCGGCATTCCGCGGGTGGAGTACATCGCTGACATGCCCACGGTCGTGAAGAACGGCGGTGGCGCAGACACGCTCATCAGCAACCTCATCCTCGACTCCTCCAAGTACGAGCACATGGAGAAGCGCCTCGTCAGCAGCATCGCAAACCTCGATTACAAGATCCCCACCATCAAGAAGACGCTGCACGCGCTGAACTTCCTCAAGAAGCGGCTGCAGGAGGAACGCGGTGCGGTGCGGTCGTACTACTGTCTCACCGACGCCGTCTTTGGCGAGGCGGAGGTGGTGCCGCAGGAGACGGTGCACCTCTGGATGGGCGCGAAGGTGATGGTCGAGTACACATTCGACGAGGCGTCGCAGTTGCTGGAGCGGAACCTCGCCAACGCGGAGGCGAACCTCGCCAGCACGAAGGAGGACCTCGCGTGGGTGCAGGAGCAGCTGACGAACCTGCAGATTAACATCTCACGTGTCTACAACTATGACCTCAAGAGCAAGGGGAAGGACAGCGGCAGCAAGAAGAATGGCACAGAGGCGGGCACGGCGTAACGGAGGGGAAAAAAAAAAAGCGGAGGTGACAAACAACACAGCGAAAGACGTGTGTGCAAACAGAGCTCGAAGGGGGAGCAGGAGGGAGCGGAAGCGGAGGAAGGGCTGCACTTTAACAAACAAACAAAAAAAAAGATGACAAGGGAGGCGGAGAGACACTAATTTAGAGAGACAGGGGCACACACGCACACACACATATATATATATATATATATACATCTACATCTAATTCACAGAGAGAGAAAGTGTGTGTGTGTGTATGAAAGAGAGAGAGAGAGAATGAAGGAACAACTGAACTCTTGGCTGTGCTCTGTCTTTACTTTTAAACACACCCCAAAGAGTTTGAGAGGCGCTGGCCCGCTTGTTGCGCATGTGTGTCCTGTGTGCCATGTCGGCCCACCAATGTCTTGTTTCCCTTCTTTGCTCTCGTTCGAGTCTCTTGTTGTGGGACGCGGCGCACGCATATAAAATATATAACAGAAGAGATATGCATCGGTGTGTGGGTTGCAGCGCCGCGGTGTTCCTGAAAGTAGCGGGCGCCCACATCGCATTGGCCCGACGATGCTGTAGTAACGAAACCTCACCACCGCAGAACGATCCACGTACGCTCTTGCAGCAGCTCCAGCGGCCCTCCGCCCAGGCGGTGGCAGGGGACGCGGTGGACGGAGTGTCGCGGCGTCACCCTGCTCCCTCGCTGCTGCAGATCACCGCGTGCTGCGAGCAAATGTGCCAGCCCGAGGCGATACACACGTGGTCCGCCGAAGAGTGGTCGGAGGCCGTGCAGCTGCTCCTGCACGCCATGGCAAGGGCGAAGCAGGGTCTTGATGATAGTGCGATGCCGGAGGGGGAGACGGTGGAGAAAGGTGCGCCGTGGGCCTCGGCGATGCGCTTATTTCTTCGCGAACCACCCCAACAGGGCACATTTCACAGAGAGAAACTGTACGCGCAGCAATTGGCCGCGTGTGAGGGGCTGCTGCGGTGCTGCACTCGTCACGGCGCCCCAGTGGATGTGGGCCGTGCCGTGTACAAGACGCTACGGACCTCAACAGCAGTAGAAGCACAAGAAGAAACAGGTAAAGGGCTTGGAGGCTGGCACGTGCTGTACGTGCGATTTCTCATGACAGAAGCTGCAACTACAGCAAGCGCTGGTGATAAGGAGTCGGCTCGTGCGCTTCAGAAGGAAGCGCTGCGAGTGCTGCTCCTAGACGCTGCAGAGGACGGTGTGACGCTGTTACCTGCTGGTTTATTGTTGTCACTCGAGGTGCTGCGCTGCATGGTCACGGATGAGACAGCGGCGCCATCGTCAGAGGAGCCCTCCCACAACGCTACAGCCGAGGAAATGCTCTGGTCTGAGCTACGGTGTGGCTCAAATGTTGTGACAGTCGCCCGTGATGTGTGCTGCCGTGTGCTGCGCCACCCGCACGCATCCCGCGCACAGAAGCAGGAGGCCTTCTGCCGATTCGTTGCGGTTGGCATGCAGCTGACAGCGGAACAGCAGTTGGGCCCGTTCGCGTGTGCTGGCAACTGCGACACAGCTCCGCCCACCACGCACATGAAGGTGTCGTCAAAGGAGTACGTGCAGCTGCTCAATGCTGTCAGTGATCTCTTGGATGTTGCTTCTGCCGAACACGAAACGGTCGTGCGGCTACTGGCGGAGCCATGTGTTGGGCATCACCGCCACGCGAAGGCCGCACCGTTGGTTTATGTGTGGTTTTTAGGTCACATTTTGCGTGCGCTGGCGTCGTTCAAGCACCAGGCGGCGGCAGCGGCAGTAGTACGCGTGCAGGAGCGCAAAGAGGCATTATTGGCGTGGGAGCAGTGCACGCAAGCTGCGTTGTGGTGCCTGCAGCGGGTTCTGCTGCAGATGCCAGCCGGTTCGCGCAGCCCTTCGACGCAGCAACAGCAACAGCGGCGCCTGCAATGGGCAAGGCAAGAGGCGTTCTCTCTGTTGTTTCAGGCTGTTCTCGACGGTGTGTTCTGTAGCAACATCTCCACCACCGCGACTGCTCCTATCGCTCTGCATAGGCCACGCGCCGATGTGATGGCAACGCTCACGCAGTTGTACGGCGAGCGTGACTGGCGCGGGCCCTCTGTCTGTCTCTTCATTGAGTGTCTACACACGTGGCGCCTGCATGATGTCCTGCGGCATGTCTTCTGCACGGTATACCGAAGAGAGGAGTGGCGTTGGCGCAGCCTAAATAACGGCAGTGGTGATGGTGGTGCAGCGGACGCTGTAACTGCGCCGCGTGTTTGGCGCTCGTCGCTGCGCCTGTCGACGTGTCAGTTGGTGGTGCAGTCGGCGTGTGCCCACGACGACCCCGCAACAGCAGCGCTCGCCGTGAAACACATGCTGCGCTGTCTTCTCGCCGCCCGGTCCGCCACGGACGCGACGGATGAAGAGGAAAGCGCAGGGGGCGAGAGGGCTGTCGTAGAGGGACGGAGTGTGGCGGAGTGGACGCGCATCATTCACGACGGCATCATCCCGCGTGTGGATGAGGTTTTCCACCGCACAGGCATCGACACCACGGAGCAATGGTTGGGGTCCATCAGCGGCGGGAGTCCTGCTACTGTGGCAGCTGTTGCTGCTAGTAGTAGCGGTGAGGCTGGGGGTGGAGGTCGGGGGTGATGGTGTGGGGTGAGTTACTCTGAGAAGAGGGTCTTTGGGGTGTTGAAAATGGGAATATGCACGTGAGGTGGGACCTACATGTGTTGTTGCTATTTTTTTTTTCTTCTTATCTAAACGTACACATATAAATTATCTTGCGGCATAAGAGTGAAAGGAGCACAAAAATAAACGAGTTTCACGGTTCGTGTTTCTGAATAACCGAAACGAATGGACGTGTGGCGCTGTGCTACGTGCAGCAAGTTGAAGCCCCTCTCGGGCGATCACCTCAATGGGAAGAAGACAGTGCGATCTGATTGCTGGCCCTGTGGCAAGAAGTGCACGTTTATGCGGGAGTCTGCGGCAGCAACGCGAAGTGCAGCCCCGGTGGTTACGGCGCCCTTCTTGTTCAACCCGGCGATGAAGGTGTCTTCTGGCAAACCAGCTGCAGGAACGGCACAGGCGGTAGCGATATCGAATCCTTTCCTCACTGGTGCGGCAGCGTTGGGCACTTCCGCGGTGGGTAGCCAGCAGGCATGCAATAAGCCTCCCAGTGGCCCGTTTGCTTCTGCACAGCTACAATTCGGCGCGGCGATGCGGGCGACGCCCTCTGACAAGACTGCAGCAGAAGCGCCGCTGTTGAACCCTTTCGCTGAGATGTCCGTTTCTCCTGGTAAAGGACCGTTCGCCAGCACCACCCACACACAAACGAACATAACAGCCAGCAGCAGTAACCCATTCGCCGCGGTAGCACTGCCAGTGCCGCGGGTGAATGAGACGCTCTCTTGTGGTAGCGCCCCCTCCTCGTCGGACGGCACGTCGCCTATTATCATGCAATCCGCCTCCGACAGATCCAGACAGTCTCCGCCGTTCACCTTCACGGTGTCACCGAGCGCCGTGGTACCATCAAACATCAGCTATAACGCCCCGACGGTGAGAGGCGACAGTGGCGCTGAACCGGAGTGGATTTGCTCGGTGTGTTACAAGCGCAAGGACCTCCACGGCGATCATCTGAGAGGGAAGACGACGGTGCGCTCAGACTGCTGGCCGTGCGCTAAGAAGCGCACATTCATCCTTTCCACCAGTGAACTACGTGCAACCTCCAAGGATGCACCGCAGAAGCACCAGCAGCTGCTGCCGCCCCGCTCGACGACAACGACGACGACGACGACCCAGACACCAGTGCGGGAGTTGGTATCGGCCGACCTTGTTGTTTCGCCTGGCGTCAGTCTCGTGTCTTCCGCTAGCGTGATGTGGCGTGATCCTGTGATTCCGTCGAGCGACACTGTTATGAACATGTTTGTCGCCCACGCCGCATCACAGCAGCAGCAGCAGCAGCGGGAGAAGTCCTCCCCGATGGCTGTTGCTCCGGATTCGAGCGAGCACAACTCCGCCGACACCGCTGCTGCGCCGCTGCTCACCTTCACCTTTGAGGGTGAGGTGCTGCGCGGATACAGGCAGCAGCTTGTAGATGGAATACGCACCCGCACGGTGTGGTACAACCGCACGTTGTATGTGTTGGCGCCGGAGAACAGCCATGGGGAGAGCGGCAGCGTGGCGGCGGCCCCGCAGCTTGGCGCTGCGGCAGTGGTCTTCCTCGCAGTGGAGCACAAACTTGCGCTCTCACCGTTTCGCCGCATGCGCCGTCTCTTCTGTCCAGATGAGTTTTCCTTTGCAGCGGCTTGTGCATACGCGAACACCTTTCTGGCGGGGCACCACACGAGTCCGCACCAGTCCTCCTTTGTGGTGTATGGACCACGTGTTGACCACACAGCCCCGACGACGCAATGGGGCTCTATCATTGAGAACTGCGCCCACGCGCGACAGCTGGTCGTGAGTGGGGAGCAGCGGGTGGAAGGGGCGCAGAGCATCTTCCGCAGTACTGGATGGCTCACGCTTCCACTGTACGCAACAGCTGAGGCCATTCGTCTGATGGAAGCGCAGCAGCAGCAGCAGGGCGCGGATGCAGAATTTTGGGGAGCCGACGTGGTACTGGTGACGGCAACAATGAAACTGGAGGAGTTGCCGCAGGCGGCTGCCCTGGCTCTCCCAGTGAAACCGTTTCTATAATGAAACACGGCACAACAATAGTGAAAACTGGTCAGAGTGCTGCCGTGCAACGTCTAACAAAGAAAACAAAAATTTGGTGTTTTTTTTTTTTGTGTATGTGTGTGTGTGTGTCTGTTGAAGAGTGTTTTTTTAGTAACAGGCAAACTTACTGTTGTAGCGGTGGTGGTGGCAGCAGCAGCAGCAGCAGCACTCTGAAAGACGCCTCACCGCAGGGGGGTGTTCTTTCCCTCCTCCTCTGTTTCATTCTGGCTGTGTGTTATTTATGTAAGTTGTCTTTCTGCTCCGATCTCTCACTCACTCAAACATCTACACGGCATCTTCGTTCGTATAGGGTGCCCAGAAAGGAATCGATTATTTCTTGTGTCCCTTGCTCTAGCGCGAAGGCTGGAGACTTCAAATGGGGGCAGGTAGTAGTGCAGCGGGTGGGAACCGCGGCGCCGATGCTGTGAAGGCGCTGCCGGCCGGGCCGCGCAAGCTGCGGGTGGTGAGCCACACGAAGAAGGCGCTGCCCGCTTCGTTCGGTAGCGTTGTGGTGCCGTCGCTGATCCCTGCCGTGCTGCCGCCCCCGCCGGTGGAAAATTCGGGGTCTTACGCGTGGTTCGTAGAGGACCTCGACCACCCCGGTGAGTGGGAAGCGTACGATAGGGACGCCTGCTGCCGCCTCGACGCGGCGCTGCAGAGCGGTAAGGATGAGTGCTTCGTCGTGGTGAAGAAGCGCGCGTGCACGGTAGACCTGAACGCAATGCAGCAGCGCGGCACCGGCGGTATGGCCCGACCGCGGAGCGTAAAGCGGGTGGCGGTGGAGGCAGACGGCGTGGTGATGCGGGAGAAGCGCTACGTCCCGGTGGACCCCTTCACCGACGAGGTGATTGGCTCGGCGTTAGGCGACGATGGGGCGAAGAGAGACGTTGGTGGTGAGAGTCGCGACGGCGGCAGGCGAGTCGACGGGCCGATGTTCCCACGGCTGCTGCGCTCCGTCACGGCACACGCGCAACCGCCGTACGTGGTGTCATTTGCCCCCGACGGCAGTACGTTGCTGACGGGCTCGCGGAGTGAGCTGCTCCACTGGGACGTGAAGAGGGCGCAGGTCGTAACAGACTTCTCTGTGCACAGTGGTTTGGTGCTGACGGCGACGTACTCGCCCAACGGCAGCCGCGTTGTGTACGGCGGCGATGACAGCAACATTAGGCTGTATGATACCACCGCGCCTGACATGCGGGCAGAGTTCACAGGGCACGCACGCAAGGTGTATGGCGTCGCCTTTCTTGCGTGTGAGGGGCGTTTCGCGTCGATCTCGATGGACCGGACGCTGCGCTGCTGGGACGTGGAGACAAGTGACTGTGTCTGCACGTCGGAATGCCACATTGCGCCCGTCTTCGCGCTGGAGGCGTCGCGGCAGAGCGACTGGCTCGTCATCACGGCGGGCGACGATAACACCGCCTGCATGCATGACCTGCGCCTTGCCAGTGGCGCCACCGTGACGGCGCGTTTTCTCGGCCACACCAACACGATCTGGTCATGCTCTCTCCGCGGGGACGAGACACAATTCGTGACGGCCGGTATCGACACAGCTCTGCTCGTGTGGGACGTGCGGCGCCCAACGGAGCCGCTGCTGAAGGTTTTCCATCACTTGAAGCCAGTGCACTGTGTGCAGTACATGCCGTACAACCGCGGCATCTTGTCATGTGCACGAGACTCGTCGATGCGTCTCACCGATGCGTTGAGCGGTGGACCGGTGTGGCGTGCGAATGCGCATGTGGGAAATGTGTTCCGGGTGTGCTACCACGCAGGGGCGGGCATGATCGTGACGAGCGGCGCCGACAAGAACGTCAATCTCTGGCAGTACAGCAATGGCGACATGTGGTAAAGTGTGCCCCTGTTGTTTGGGCACATACAGGTATATTCGGCTCCCGCGCGCGCTCATGTATGTGTCAACACCGTCACTCTGTATGTGCTGAGAGAAATAGAGGGTGTCTATCTGTCTTTCTACCTATCTATCTATGTGTGTGTGTGTGTGTATGTCGGTGTGTGGAAGAAGCGTACAGGCCCTGTAACCCACGCGCGCACATGTCTAGCGTGAGGCAAGTGAGGCAGCGACGGCTAATGGAGGAGAAATATTCATTATATCTATATATATATCTATATATATATATATATGTCTGTATACAGATATAGATATATGTTAGATAGCTATATGCCCGAATTGGCGTCTGGGGTCTTGGTCTACGCGGCGTGGTGGATGGTCGCGCATTCGTCTATGCAGGAGAGTTGTGACAATGCATTCCAAAGATGTCATTTTTCACTGTGGCTGGGGGGGAAGGTGCAATGATGTGTGTATAGCGTTTCTCTCTCTTTCTTTCTATGGGTGGGTGTGTATGGGTGGGTGGGTGCTTGATCGCTGCGTTCTTGATTCAATCATTTTTCTTCTGTTTTTTTTTTTGTGTTGCACGCACAGAGAGATGGAACTGAAGGGACACACACACACACATACATGCATACATTACATACGTGTATGCGGAACACCCTCATTGGTTAACACGTATCTTTTTCTTTTTGGATTCATTCTTGTGTGTATGTGTGTGTTTCTTATTCTTCACTCCTGCTGCATATAGATGTTCATCTGTGCCTCTTGGCACGCAGTATGTACAATGTGCATCCGTAATGCAAGTCCCTCCGTCCCTGTGTCGTGTTGTTTTACTCGCTTCAATGCTGTTTCTTCACTGCTGTTTTCCCTGTATATATATATATATATATATATNGAGAGAGAGAGAGAGTGTGTGTGTGTGTGTGTGTGTGAGATGGGTATCTGAAAGGGGGAGGAGATCGGGGAGGAGGAGAATGACGTAGTGGCGCTTGGGTGTGCATAATTCATACATACATACATATACATACATATACATATATATATATATATGAATATGTCTGTATGTGTGTGTATTGCGAGGAATCGTGAAACTCCGAATGCGACTGGTCATAAACGTCACAAAATGGATAGGAGAAATAATAATAGTCATATAGGGGGCGGGAATGGGGAGGTGGGAGCGAGAAAACATCCAAAGTGCCTTCCGCAGCAAATCCGCCCTCCTGTTTTTTTTTTTTTTT